CTCCTATAAAAACTTCCTTTCTTTTTTATAAGCAAGGCTTTTATTTTGTTCGTGACTTGTTTTGCCCTGTCATCTCATATTTAAGGATTTGTTGTTGTTTGGTTTTGTTTTCCTCCAGGTTTACAAGTGAGGCTGTGAGGCCTAGAGTACTCATTTTTGTGGTGTTTCTTCTCTAAATTCTCTGACCCTTTTTTTTGTGAGCCTTGTTAGCATCTCTCTCAGGCAGGCTGGAACCATGTAGAAGGAAAGGTGGCACCTGAGAGTTCCCAGGTACCATGCTTGTTATTGATGCTTCCAGATTCATGGTTCATGTTTCAGAAGGAGGACAGGCAGAGAAAGGATCATCTGCGCTCTCTGATCCAGCCATATCTGAACCCAGAAGCTCCTCTGGACTTCCCAGGTTTATGAGTCAGCAAATGTCCTTTCTGCTACAGCTCTTTTAAATTGAGATTTTTGTCATTTACAAATAAATAGTGAATACAGGATTTGAAATGAGAAATGTAATAGTTCTCCCACCCACCCTGTGGCTCTTGGTGGGAGAAGTTATTCCCACCCAAACCACTGAAGACTCCATTATCAGAAAATGGAGAAAGAATGTCAGGAGACAAAAGCAAGTAAAGCCAAGGTGTCTACTTTGTCCATGTGACATTGATACCAAAGGAGGGAAGGGAAGTGCTGGGAAGGAAAGGGCTTGGTCCCTGGCAAGGACTCCACACCCTGCCTGTACCCACAGACCCAGGTGAGGATGGGCACTCCTGCCTTCATGCTCAAATGTTGCATTTCCCAAGACTACCCTGGCCTGCTATGCCCCCATCCTGCACCTATCATACCTATAAAAACCCTGAGTCCCTAGCAGGCAGACCCACAGGTCACTGGACATCGAGAGGAACACATCGGTGGGAGAAGACACAAGCGGCTGAATATTGAAAGGATGTCTAGGGGAACACGCTGGCAGAAGTGCACAGGACGGATGCCAGCAAGCCACCGACTGACGGAACGATGTGGACTTTGACTGGGGTAGTCAGAGGAGAGCCGAGGACACTGAGTGGTCTGACTCCAGGGGAAAACCACCTTCCCACTCCATCTCCCTTCTGGCTCCCACATCTGTTGACAGCTACTTAGACTCAATAAAACCTTGCACTCATTCTCCAAGCCCACGTGTGATCCAATTCTTCTGGTACACCAAAGCAAGAAACTCCAGGATACAGAAAGCCCTCTGTCCTTGCGATAAGGCAGAAGGTCTAATTGAGCTGACTAGCACAAGCTGCCTACGAACGGCTAAACTTAAAGAGTACCCCATAACACATGCCCACTAGGGCTTCAGCTGTAAACATTCACCCCTATTCATTGCTGTGGGCTTGGAGCCCCACAACCTTCCCGGCTGCATGCTCCCCTAGAGGTTTGAGCAGTGGGGCACGTAAGAAGCTAGCCACTTCCTGTCACATGCCATGAGAAGGGAACAGGGGAAACTTTCCCATTTCAACATGTCTCTTTGTCACTGCAGCTTCAGCTAAATTCATAAAATTGCTTTTATTTCTGAGACCTGGAACTTTCTTTGGGACAGTGGAAGTGGACAACTTTCTGAAAATTAATTTTCCAAATGTTCATTTGCTAAGGCTAGTTCACTGATAGCCAATTTGTGAAAAGCCAATTGTGAGCTTTAATTTACACTCCAAAGTAAATAAAATAAATCAGAATTACCCAAAATATAACATATAATAAATCAAGATTAAAGAAAAATGTCCATATTAATACTCAGAATTATTTTTCTGAATGTTATATTTGATACCCAAAGATGAACATTTCAGTTAAGTCGGTTAAGTCTTTTTAAATGTTTACAAAATTACTACAAGCAAATTTGGTATATTTGGCCAATTGATCATTCAGTGACTAAGCTTCTTCCCTTGGCCAAAACCTGAAGTAGTTGACTGCGACCACTGATGTTCTTCACAGGCTTATTTGAAACACTTGAATTTATACCAATAAGCAGGGTTTTTTTGTTGATAGGGCAAGAGGTCCAATGCAAGTAGAAAAAAAAAAGTGAAGACAAAGGACGACACCTCCCATAGGGAAAGGTCTGTACAGGTCACAGATATTCAACACTGCCTTCCCCTCACCCCACTTGCCAAGTCTCTGATCTGATATAAGCTGCCACATTTTTGAGATAATTTCCGTCTTTTATAAACACTCTGTTGTGGTCAAAGGGTCTGTTTTCCAATACTGATTCAGTCTTTTACTGACAGTGAATTCGTGTAAGTCAGAAGAAGCTGTTATGCTGTAATAAGGAATCCCTCCCCAAGTCTCAACATCTTAATGCAGCCATGTTTTGTTTCTTGTTCATGTTCCATGCCCGATGTAATTGTCATCACTTACAGATCCTATATGATCTATATTAACATACAGCTATACTACCTGAACCCCTGGCTTCTTTGGTCAGCTCAGCAGAGGAAGAGGGGGCACAGAAAATCAAACAAAGGCTCTTAAATACTTCCACCTGAAAGTGATAGTTTTCATCCACTCACATTCCACTGGCCGAAGCACATCATGAGGTTACACTCCACTTCAAGTGGGCAGGGGATTGTAGTCCTCTTTGTCCCTGATTAGAAGAGAAATGAATGTTGGCAAACATTGGTATTACAAAACACAGAAAATTAATTGTTCTGTGTCTCTGTTAACTCATCTGTAAAATGAGGATGATAATATCCATGTCATAGAGCTATTTATGAAATGGAAAATGAATATACAAAGCCTAGCATTATACTTGATAGTCACAAAACAATAAAATTAACTATTATTATTATTAGAGTTAATATTTATCTTTGGGATAGACGATTACATTGAGTAGCATCACTCTAGGTCTTTCAAAAAGTATTTCATATATAAGATCAGATTAATTTTATTTGGAATAAGTTGCATAATCACTAAATTTGTTTCTTCTTTTCTGTAAATGACATTACCTACCCATTTACTCAAGCTAGAAATTTTGGCACTATCCTTGATGCCCCTCTTTCCTCACCTCCCTAATTCAATCAATTCACCAAGTCCTGTGAATTCCGCTTTATGAATAATTTTGCACTCCACTGCTCTCACCTATTCCACATTACCATCATTGTTATGTACTGAATTTTTGTGTTCCTTCCCACTCCAAATGACTGTGTTGAAGCCCTAACTTCCAATCTGACAGGGAGAGTTGGGTTTTTTCAGGGGGAAATGGGACCTTTGCGAGATAATTAGATTTATATGAGGTCACAAGGGTGGAGTAACCATGACTGGATTAATGTCCTAATAAAAAGAAAAAGATACACCAGAGCTCTCTATCCTCTATGTGAGGACACAGAAAGAAGGTGGCCAAATGCAAGTCAGGAAGGGAGCCCTCACCAGAACCTGAGCAGTCTGGCACCCTTGGGCTTCCAGCCTCCAGAACTCTGAGAAATAAATGTCTGCTTGTTAAGACACCCATTCTGTAGTGTTTTGTTGTGGCAGGCCAACCTGATCAAGGACAATCGTTTTTTCCATAGACTATAGCAACTCCCAACTGGTTACCCCAGTATTCGTTCTGCTCTTCTCCAACTTTTATTCACATAGGAGCCATAGTGATTTTTTTTAGCTTAGACATTAAGCTTCTTTTTGGATGATATCCTTTAATAGTTTCTCATTTTAATTTTCACCAAGGCCTACAAAGCTCTCTATGGTATAAGCAAGCATTCTGCATAAAGTGACATTCTAGTTCCCCAGGGATGAGGCAGTCATCTATATCAGACTCCCTAACTTGAATTTCTACAACTACTTTTATTATTTCTTAAAGAGAAGATGGGTTGGTGGACAGGTAGAAGTAAGAGGAAAGAGAAGGCTTAGGGAATCCCATCAAATATTTCCTGGTCCTTTTTATCTCCTGAGTACCTTCGTAATGAAGAAGTGGTTCAAACAGTCTCTAGTTAGGTGTTTGAATCTGAAAGAAGAAATGACAATGTCTTTCATTTTGTGCTTCAATTTCAATTCATTGTTAGTGGCTTCTCAAAGGATTAAGGTGAGGAGGTTAAATGGGGCTCAGAAAAAAAGCATTGAAATTATTTAGTAATGTCTGCCACTGGTGAGAAAATAGTGAAGAGTGACTGGTTTTGTCACCATCATCTGAACCCTCCAACCTGGATGATAGCCTTTCTCTGACATGAGAGGAATCATCTTCTTTGAAGAGCTTTCTCTCAAAAACCATTAGAAATACTAGTGACCACTACTTTCTGAGAGTGTCAAAAGGTTTAAATGCTGATAAAGCTTAAAGAAAGTGCATCATAATGCTAGACAGGTGTGACATTCATTCCCTGTCTTGTAATTTGCTTTCACTGATGGAAATTTTTATTTCTCTCTTATGTGGAAGAAGAGTAACAACAATGTTGTGGTTCAAACAGAACTTTTTTTTTTTTTTTGAGACAGAGTCTCGCTCTGTCGCCCAAGCTGGAGTGCAGTGGCGCAACCTCGGCTCACTGCAAGCTCCGCCTCCTGGGTTCACAACATTCTCCTGCCTCAGTCTCCCAAGTAGCTGGGACTACAGCGCCCACGACCACGCCTGGCTTATTTTTTTTTGTATTTTTAGTAGAGGCGGGGTTTCACCGTGTTAGCCAGGATGGTCTCGATCTCCTGACCTCGTGATCCACCCACCTCGGCCTCCCAAAGTGCTGGGATTACAGGCGTGAGCCACCGAGCCACGGTGCCCAGCCCAAACAGAACCTTGTTATTCAAAGGTCTTATGGTGTGATGGGTAAAAGCTTGGGAAATGCCTGTGAGAAATTAGCAGCACAGCTTGCTTACTCACTTTCAGCCTATTAAAATTTTCCTGAAACTTATAAATGGAAAGATGTTTTGTTCCCAAGAGTCTGCTTGTATGTTGCTTCAGTTTTTAGAAATAATTCAAGAAAGTAAGCACAGGACTTGGGAAGTCTGCAGAAAAGTTTCAACTAAGATGACAAACTCAGTTAACTTTATTATTTTGTTTCCTTACAAAGCCCACGGATCATACCACACTGTTCTTTCTGCAAAACAGTTGAGAATTACCAGTAATTGAGACTGTTTACATTCAATGCCATCCTGACAGAAGCAGCTTTATTATATTGCAGAGGGATAATTAATATATGATGGGGATTAAAGATTGCATCACAGCAGGTAAGCCTCTTGTCTGATATGTCATTTCACTGATTACAAAGGAATGCAAATTATATAAACAGAAATAATGTTTTTCTCTTATGCTAATTTTAGCCTAGCCCACCTGTGCATTTTCGATTAACTGGAGAAAGGTGAAAAATATTAGGTTTGCTAAGGTAGATTTCTGCCTTGTCAGCCCACCTCATCTGATATTAAATGCAGTTATATCTTATTTAGACTCCGTTTTTAACCTTTTTTTAATTCCTGAAAAGATAAAATTCAAGCAAATTACTCATATGAGCTATGAGATTTAGGAGACGTGACATGATTTGGATAAGGTAAAAGGCTTGTCTTTCTTGACAAATTGTACAAATTAGAGCAATATTCTTGGCTATTTGACTATCGTGATATTGTCGTGTCTTAGGCTTGTGCTTGTTTGCAACAGATCTTTAATACCTAATATTGTTAATTGTACAACATATCAATACTCTCCTTTGCCTCTATCACAGGCCAAGGCAAGATGTAATAAACATTAATAATTTTAGATTTATTTCCACTGTAGCAAGAATGGGAAAAAAGTGTCATCTGAAATGCCATTTTCAAGCAATTGCAGTGATTTACTGGAACCCTACATAAGAAGTCCAGATTCAGTGGGAAAGACTGTGAGGATCCATTAGCAATGCTTACGATGAGCAAGTCTTGTGATGGGTTTACCCTCCTTGCATTAGAATTTGCAGTCTTCTATTAGGCCATTAGCCTTTGAGAGCAAAAACTATATGTATCTCATTTTTGTAGCCCCAGTGCCAGGCACACAGTAGCTGCTCCAATAGCAAAGGAGTCTGAGTCAGGCTGCTTGAGTTTAATGGCTGTCTTTGTTGCTTACTAGCTGAGTGAACTCTTCATGTTTATAACTTAACTGTGGTTCAGTTTCCTTCTCTACAGAAAAGGCATGAGTTCCTCATTCATAGGGTTATAATAAGGGTTAAATAAAGTCATGCATATCCAAAGCTTAGCATACTGCCTGAGACATAGTAAATACTTGAGGAATGCAGGTATAAATTAACATAGGAATGAGTAACTTTGCAAGGAAACAGAGAGAAGGATCCTAAACAGTCCTGCTGGTATATGCATTTATGATTCAAAAATCCTCAATTGTTGACGGGTGGATCACGAGGTCAGGAGATCGAGACCATCCTGGCTAACACGGTGAAACCCCGTCTCTACTAAAAATACAAAAAACTAGCCGGGCGAGGTGGCGGGCGCCTGTAGTCCCAGCTACTCCGGAGGCTGAGGCAGGAGAATGGCGTGAACCCGGGAGGCGGAGCTTGCAGTGAGCTGAGATCCGGCCACTGCAGTCCAGCCCGGGCTACAGAGCAAGACTCCGTTTCAAAAAAAAAAAAAAAAAAAAAAAAAATCCTCAATTGTTAAAATTTGGGTCAGAAACGTATTATTCCAGGTTGTTGGTAAATGTGAGGGCCGTTCTGGGTTTGGAGGTAGAACAATAAACTGAGAGGCCAAAGGAGCTGCAAATAAAAATTGACTTCTCTGGGAAAATGATTTTCACATTTATACCTACCTGCCTTTTGTCCTCCCATGCATTTCTCCAGATGTGGTACCAATGTGATACAACTGTTGTTTATTCCTTCTTTGACAATAGCAAGGTAGTATGAACCTGCCAGTGAGGGCTTCAAATATAGCTCCAGAGACATTCACCACTACTGCCTGCCTCCATGGTTTCCCATTCCCTTTCACAAATAAAACATGACCTCATGCTTCCTTCTGAGCTTGCATTTTACATACATCATTTGGATCTTCTCTACAAACCAATGAAGTGGGTGTGGTAATCTTCCTTTACAAATAGAGAAACTGAGGCCTAAGATGAGGAGCAATTTCCCCATAAAAAACCTTTATTGTCAAAGTCCAAATGGCTGATGATTCATGCTATAGACATCCCAAACTAGCTGGTAGGCAGAGCTCTGGGCATTCCAAATGGAAACGTGGAACAGACACAGATCACCTGGCCACACAGACTTCAGCTCTAAAGACAGACAACTACTTACCTGTTAAAGTTTCCTGTGCACTAATTTTTAAAATCTAGAGATAGATATTAAGTAGGTTAAGTGAAATCTTAAATTAGCCCATGGACATTTGAGAACGGAATCATTTTTAGAATCTTGATTCTGAGATTCACTGTTGGGCTTAAGTCACTGCTTCTGTGATGGTTGGTTTTGGGTGTGAACTTGACTGCATTAAGGGATACTTATCTGGGAAAGCATTATTTACTCTCCATGCTTCAGTAGATACTGAGCCCTTCCCTCTTCTGCCGAAAGGGAAACCCAGGTGATTTGGCGTTTGATTAGAATAATTGGGCTGCCCCAGGTGTGTCGGTGATGGTACTTCTGAGGGAAACTGGGACTAAATGAAGAAGATCTGCCCTCCATATGAGCAGGCACGATCCAACCAGCTGGGGGCCCCAAATAGAACAAAAAGGCAGATAAAGGGCAAAGTTTCCCTGGAGAAGAGCCCGGCCTGTAGACAGACATCAGAACTCCAGGTTCTCCAGCCTTTGGGCTCCAGGACTCACACCAAGGCGCCACCGGGCTCTCTGACCTTCAGCTTTGGACTGAGAATTAAGCTATAGAATGCCATGGTTCTGAAGCCTTCAAACTCAGACTGAGCCACGCTACAGGCTTTCCAGGTTGTCCAGCATGCAGAAGGTCTGTTGTGGGACTTCTCAGCCTCCATAAGCAAGTAAGACAATTACCTCTAATAAATCCTTTTTCATATATCTCTCTATACATCTGTAGGTTCTGTCTCTAGGGGGAACCCTAACTAAAACCATCCTCAAAGATAACATGCATAAGAATTGCCCAGAGCAGGGGGATGGAGTCTTGCTAACATGCACATTGATTCAGAAGAGGTAGGGCCTAGGATTTTCTGTACTTCTGAAACACTTCCAGGTGATGTTGATGCTGATGGACAAGGAGCACACTATCAGTTTTTAGTCAGGCTTCCACAAAGTGCTTTCTGCGGGTACCTTGCATCAGAATATGCACACATGAAGAGAGTCTGCCTTGGTTAGTGGGTCTCAGGTGGGTCTGGAGAGATGAGAGGAAACTGCCTGTTTAAAATGCATTCAGGTGATTCAGCTACATATTAACAAAGCATTGTGACATTAATGAAAGTGTTTTCCAAACTTGCTCCATTATTAGAACCACCTGCTGGTTAAAAGGCACTGATTTCCCAGGCTTTCCCCCTTACAGACTCAGTTTTAAAGATCTGGCTTATCTCATTTTTATCTATGCAATTCCTGATAATAACTTAGTGAGGTTATGGAATTTGTCCAAAATCTAACGTAGTAAATAGTAGTCTCAAGTATATGTGTAGACTGATGGAGAAGAGTCAGAGGGGAAGAAATACTAAATGAGAGACAAACAGGGAATTAGAGACTTCATTGGGAGATATTTGTGTGAGTGGACCTAGAGTACTCAGTACCACTGGGCTAGCTTTGGAAGGCTTGCTCACCCAACAGAGTCGTGCAGTGGCTCCTCCGCAGTGTGCCTGGGCTTCAGGAGGGCAAGAAGCAGGACTTGGGTTCAGAGTGGTGCAGGCTAAACTCGCGACAAGACAGTCACATGGACTCATAACTGCGTCAAGAACTTCAGTGAAGGAACTTCTAGTCTCTACCATACTGGTAACACCTGCCTTTTTTTTTGTTTTTAGTTTTTTCTTGGTAAAAACAAAAATTTGCACAAACATAATGGGAACTCATGTTCTAAAAATATAACTTTCCTAGTAATCCTCTACCCTTTTGTATCAACTTAAGTCAATTATAATTCTTTTTGTCCCCCAGTTTCTACACACATAATTTTTCTAATATTGGCAAGACTTATTTCAGAGAGGGGTGAGGCTTACTAAAGTTATCTTAAGGGTCTAAACTAGCAATGATACATGGAAGTTAGTGGAGGACAGATTTCTGTGGACAGAGTAAGGGAGAATGATTTAAAATACTTGCATAATAATTAGACCAGAGAGAGCAAAAATGTTTTCTTTTAATGCTAGCCCCAATCTATTATTGAGCATCTAGGGAACTGTGCAGGGAAGTATTCTAAGCTGACATCTAATCAGTGTTTTTGAAAGATCTTGGTAGCCAAGTCTTTTGTGTATTATATCTAGCAAGAATTGTTTCACAGTTGTTTTCTAATTGTACTCTGCATAAATATGTGCTAGAGTCTGGGTGAATGCGCATCACTATGCCCGGGGATTTGGTGAGGAGGAACCAGAAATTCCTCCTTTGTTATTAATATTCTTAATAAAACTTGATTTTCATGCTTTGGGCCTGGCTCTGTTGAAATGATGGTTATGGAGTTTAAGAACTGGAGCAGAACAAACACAATCCTACCACAGATGCCCTTCCAGAAGGAAAAGGGATGAATGAGGTCATGCTTCTTGGCTGGTATTAGTCCCCCATTTTCTGTAGAACTCAAGGTGCTGCTCCTCCAAAACCAAATAACATTAGAGTCTCCACCTGTCATCTGAAACCACAGCACTCAGCGGAAGGCCCAGCTTGTCAGCTAATATCCACGCCCCTCATTCAGTGCATGCTGACTCTTCCAGCTCATCCTGCCCACTCACCCCTAACCTCCACAGACCCAGCTGGTTATGGTTATCCCACTTCAGTTGTCTAGTTAACTCACCCCAAAGAATGATTTGAATCTTCATAAAAATCAAATCTCCTAATTCCTCTGTCCTTTCCTTCTCTCCTGCCTTCCACCCCATCCATCAGATTCTGGGACTCAATTATCTTCCCATAGTTTTGGTCTCCTTTCTTTCTTACCCATGCAAAATTTAGATTTTACATCAATTTTAAAATGGGAGAGAAAATAATTTTTAAAATGACATAAATGGCAACTACTCATTACCTACTTGTTCTAGACTTTCCTGTATAAGCATAGTTCTAGATGCTTTCTTACAGATTTTGAATTTAATTACACTGAGATTCAAGAATACAGATTATATTTTGATTATTTATTAAAACTTATTATAGTAGTTAATCTTAGCAAATGTTTTATTGGTGGGCTTCAGATGAATATGAATTCATTTAGTTACGCAAAATTTGCATAATGCAAATAAGTTGTTTATCTTTACTAATTCTTTTTGTCAGCTTTATCTCTCAATTACTGAGAGCTATGTGAAAGCCTAAGGGTATGTTGGCAAATTGTCGATTTCTTAATTATAGTCGCATTTAGCATTAACGTATCATCTTGCT